GTGAGCAAAGTAGTCTACAAAGCCTCTGTGCTGCTTCCCACTTCTATCCCCTTTTGTTCATTACCTGAAGCCAGGGCTCATTGTTTCTTAAGTCTACACAGAGGCATCCTAATGCAGAGGGTATCAGCAAATGCATACATCGGTTCTTTCTTCTGTCACTGAGGAATGTGGAGTCCTTTGTGTCATTCCTTCCTCCTCCTTTTCTCTTGCAGATAGCCATGGGGAAAATGAGGGGTTGTAATTTACTACTCTGTTAAGATTTTGTGTCTGTAAAGTGAAAATAGAGTTAGTGCCTATCTCCTGTCATCTGCATCATGGGGTGGAAGGTTCAGTGTCTGAGTGTGAGAGATGTGTCTGTGCAGCCACCAGACCTGCAGAAGGTTTCCCGGTGGAAGTAGGGAGGCAGGATCTCTGCCAGCCAGAGATTTTGGCATTGTCATACCTTACTGCTGGCAGCAGTTGCTCACTTAATGTGTCCTACCTCAGTTAGGTCTCAGGGGCTTGGCTGTAGGTGGTGTGTGTGTGCTTGGACCACAGGTGGACAGAGGTCTAGTCTCCTGTGCTATGTGCGGTGTTCATGTAGCATCAAGGTGTGCATGTGTAGCTTGAGGTGTCAAGGCCTGTAGTGTGTATATAACCAGCCACTTCCAGAGGTAGCAGTTGGAGTACTGTGTGCTTGGGAGGTTGGTTAGTGCTCTGACTTCTAGTCTCAGAAGTAGCCTGTACCAAGGGGACATATGTGAGACATGCACTTATTCTCACACGGCTGCTTTTCTGTCTCTTCTTAAAGAAATACTCTGATGATGATGTTGACAGTGAAGGAGAAGATGCTAGTGTCACCCAGGGAGATCTGGAAGCCTTGATTTCTGGCCACTACCCTGTGAAATCATCAGAGACCAGTGACAGTTCTTCCACAGTGGCCCAGCCTCCCAGCAAGTGGGTTTGTGCCCAATCTTCCAACAGCAAGAAGGAGAATCACAACCAATGCATCACAGAAAAACTGGAAGTGCTGGCAAAGGCTTACTCTGTCCAGGGGGACAAGTGGAGAGCTCTGGGCTATGCCAAAGCCATTAATGCACTCAAGAGCTACCACAAGCCAGTCACCTCCTACCAGGTAAAACACATTCTCAGGGTGGTGGAGCAGGGAGATAGACCTTTGATGGAAGTTGTGTGTCAAGTGAAAGTTGGGATTCATTTACCACCTCAGTGTTTTCAAAATAACAGAAAACTGAGCTTTTTAGGGCCAGATCTGAGCACTCAGAGTATAAATGCCTTCCTTGGGCACAATAAATGGACATTTTCATCTTCTTGTTCGTCATCAATATCTGGCCACCATTTAAGATAATCTCTAAAACTAATTGGATCTGACCCTTATGGACTGTGGCAGTCCAGTGGTTCAGTGTGATAGTGTTTCAGTCCTGTTCTGCATGCTAGTCCTTCTCCACTTGAATTGATGAGTCTTTGTAAGCCTGGGCTAGAGAGTAACCTCTCAGGCAGAGCTAGTCCTGCCACTTACCAGTTACTGATCAAATGACTAACCAGGTTCTGAGTGGGTAGCAGTTCTCCAGCTTGTCTGTGATCTTCACTTTTACAGTGGTAGCTCTGGTTTCTTTCTAGGAAGCTTGTAAAATCCCTGGGATTGGGAAGCGGATGGCAGAGAAGATCCTGGAGATCTTGGAGAGTGGGCACCTGCGCAAGCTGGATCACATCAGTGAGAGTGTGCCTGTGCTGGAGTTGTTTTCTAACATCTGGGGAGCAGGTGTCAAGACAGCTCAGATGTGGTACCAGCAGGTAAGTTTAGTGCCTTACATGGGAGGCTCTCAGACTGTGGTTTGAAGACTGTTGCTGAGTGTAGGAGAATTACTTCCCCAAATAGTTTCCAATTGTTAATATCCACAGATGAGATTTGAATCTTTTTTTGGGAGGAGCTCCGAGGCTGGGTCCCACTGTTGATGTGTTTGGGGAGACTGGAGTGCACCCAGCTGAGACTTTAATTTGGTTGCAGATAGAGGACAAAGATGTGGGGGGGAAGAGTAGGGGACACACTGCTTCTTCCACAGCATTACTGCTTGGAGCTCATCTCGTACTACTCATGGCAACGACACGGCTAAGAGCCAGGCTTGAACCAGGGAATCTTGGCCACGAAAGTTTCTGATCCAGTTACTGGGCTGTTGGCCTGACTGGCTCTTGTAGTTGTCAGAGCAGCCATCCGTCTTGTCTGGAAGTTGTAAAAATGAGGCTGAAGCAATTGTGCCAACAGGAGTAACCTAGCCCGCTGGGTGGGCTCCTTTAAAAACGATTTGTTTCCTGAACATGGAGCTCATGAGACAGGTTAAATACAGTCTCCCCAAATCTTGGTGTAAAGTATTTGAAGAGCAAAGCCTTGGTAGATCTTTGATATCATCGTGTGGTCTGCTGTAGGGTTTCCGGACACTGGATGATATCCGCACCAAGGCGACTCTCACCAGCCAGCAAGCTGTGGGGCTGAAGCACTACACAGATTTCCTGGAGCGCATGCCTCGGGAGGAAGCTGCAGAAATAGAGCAGACTGTGAGTAACTTAGCCCCAGGCCCTCAGAGTGGAGTACCTGCTGGGACATGACAGGAAGGTATACACTGTGAAAATGTCCCTCGCTGTTACAGCTGAGCTTTTCAGCTCTTCTTCTGAACAGGATTAGTGCTTGGGGGACCCTCTTTGGGCATGGGCACACAGAGCACCTACTTTGCCCCATAAGAAGGTTCAGTTTGAGTGCCTGGCAAGGAGGAGGATACTTCACAAGTGTCACTTCTACACATTACTTTGAAAAAGACTGCGTGTGGCGTGGTGGGATGAACAGGTTCCCAGCTCCTCTTTCCTGCCTCTCGTCATCTCTGAGATGTCTGCTTTCAGCTGAGGTCTCCTTGGTGCTGCTTTTCCAATGGAAGCTGTGAGCTTATTTGGAGAATCAGGTTGCAAATGGGTGCTGCTTGCTCTAGGATGCTGTGGCACCCCAGGATTATGGGGTGCCAAGCCAGTGTACCCTAATGTGAGCAGAGAGCTTGGGGAACACACTGTCATTGCTACCCCTGTGCTCTCCAATCACCATGGAAGCAGCAGCCAGCGTGACCCTGTCACTCGGCCACAGGGCCTGGCCACGAAGAATACACTCCTGCCAGGCCCCTGCTGGGGTGTCAGTCCCGTGTGCTGGATTAGCCATTTTGGTGGTGAGTGGTCCCTTTCCCAGGCAGGCTGGGCTGAGGAGCTGGCTCTTGGGGATGGGTCTATTGTTACCTTGATGGGATTACTGTGCTCCTGTCCATACACACACACACACACACCTCTGATCCAGGCCCAGGAGAGAGAATGAGGGATTAGTTACTGTGCTGCCTGTCACAGTGAGATCTGAGGAGCTTTTAGGCTCTTGGGTGGGGCTGGGAGTTTTCTAGAAATCTTCATTTAAAGCCAGAAGGGGGGCAAAGACACCAGAGGAGGCCTTGCTCCGCATGAGAAAGGCTTGTGGCTTTTTGGAGCACCTTTGGGGCAAAGGTTAATGGGTTTATCTCTTGCTAATGAAGGATGATCCCCAAGAGTGACAAGGGGCTGTGGACATGAGCACTGCCTTGCTGAACCCCAGCCTCTGTGATGGCCTCATCACTGGGAATTGCTGAGCCCCTAATTATTCGCGGCCAGCAGGGTGATTGGCACAATCAGACCAAGAATACTTTAGTCCTGTCCAGGGACTTGGGAGCCTTTCTTAAACATTTAATGAACGAAGCTATCAGAATTAGCACTGTCTGCACAAAACAGGAGCTGGGATCCAGCCTGGAGGAGACCACATTAGGGGAAGTTCTGATTATATGTGTCTGATTGCTGGCAGCAGCATATTGGCATCTGTTAGTCTAAAATACTGGGACATTTGTGCTTTCCTGGGTTGGGAAGCCCAGCTCTGCTACAGAGGCAGAGCTCCTGGCAGGAGTGAACTCCAAAAGATACTCACAGATTTTCTGCTGTGTTGGGTTCTGCTGGATAGGTTCCACAAGCCCATCCCTGCTTCTGAAATAAGACCTGTGGCTGCCATCTGTTGAACTGATTCTCTTTGTGGGCAGAGCTAGTGAGCTTTGTGTTCCTGGCCCACAGCAGAACTGAAAAACCTTCTCTCCCTCTGTCTCAGAAACTGAAGGCTCTAAAACCTTTGCTGTACTTTGCCCCTTCAGCAGTGCTGCATCTTCCTGCTTGTCCCAACCTAGCTCCAGCCCAGTGCCCTCAAGAGCTGTCTGGCAGCATGCTGGATGTTTGCAGGACTGGGTGGAGGCCCAGCTCACCTGTCCCCTGACAGCAGGCCAGCCTTCTTGGTGGGGCAGTGTGCCATGCCTGCCAAGTGTCTGCTCTGTATGGAGACCCTGGAGATGCAGGACAGACCTTAAGGAAGGCACAAGATCCTTTGCTGCCTTGATGGAAAGAGCATAAAGAGACTGACTCCTCATCCCTCTTTCTCTTCTTGGAGGTCAGACAAGCTGCCCTGGCCCTGAAGCCTGGACTAGTGTGTGTGGCATGTGGCTCCTATCGTCGGGGAAAGCCCACCTGTGGAGATGTGGATGTGCTGGTCACTCACCCCGATGGGCAGTCTCACCGTGGGGTGTTCAGCAAGCTGCTCGACAGCCTCCGGAGGAGTGGTAAGAGGTCTGGGGGAAGGCTCATGGTGCTTGAAGCTGTTTTTAGCGTGGCCAAGCTGAGGAGGCAATGGTATTCATTGAAGGACTGGTGATCACTTTTCCCAGGAACAGGATATCTTGTTAGTCCTTAAAAGTCCTGCCCTGGTCCTGGCCCTGCTGCAGTGTTAAGGAGGGAATATTGCTGCATCTCAGCATGGCTTCTCCTGTCTGGGTGAGGCTGTCAGGGCTGAGGCTGGATTATCCTTGTGGTCCCACAGCACATTATCAGGCACCTCAGCTGCTATCTGGAAACTGGGAAGTTCAGCATGGGGTGTCAGTCTCTACCATTCAGCTCCTCCTTGCCTGTTCTCTCTCCCAGGCTTCCTTACAGATGACCTGGTGAGTCAGGAGGACAATGGTGATCAGAAGAAGTACCTGGGTGTGTGCCGCCTCCCTGGGCCAGCCCAGCGTCACCGTCGTCTCGACATTATTGTGGTGCCTTACAGTGAGTTCGCCTGTGCCCTGCTGTACTTCACTGGCTCAGCTCACTTCAACCGCTCCATGCGGGCCCTGGCCAAGACCAAGGGCATGAGCCTGTCAGAGCATGCCCTCAGCTCGGCCGTGCTGCGAGGCCCCGGAGGTGTCAAGGTGTCATCTGGTCATACTCTGCCCACTCCCACGGAGAGAGATGTCTTCATCCAGCTGGGGCTGCCTTACCGGGAGCCCTCGGAACGGGACTGGTGATACCAGGTTGTCACTCGGCGCCCTGGGCCCACTGCTGTGCTGCTGTTTGGAAGGCTGCTGGTTTCCCCAGTGCTGTGCTGTGCTGATGGCAGACTGAAGAACATATCCCAGCAAACTGGGGCTCCTTGCAGGCATGAGGCCCTGCTGCTGGCAGAGCTGTGTGGCTTCACCCAGCAGAGGCTGTGAGCTGGAACCACGCTGGAAGTGCGTGCTGCCTTGATGCCACAGGCTACCAGAAGGGCTTGCTGCCTATCAGCTACCCTGGCCCTGCTCTCCCCAGCTTCAGAAAGCTGGGCTGCAGAGCATTGTGATCCAGCCCCTGCCTGTGCTTGGCAACAGGGGAAGTGGGATGCATTCTCCTCTGTCTGAGCACAGACAATCCAAAACTTCTGTGCTGAGCTGTGAATGAAGGCAGTAGAGGTCTAGCTTGGCCCTGGAACAGGCCTTCCCCCTTCTTACTACTACTGCAGGAATCATGAGGGGTTCCCATGTGCTGCTGCTGTGTCCTTCAGACTGAGCTGACATGTCCTCTGATGAGTCCCACTGCACAGGGCAAGGCTGCTGCCACTGCCACCAGGTTTCCCTGGTGTCAGGTAAGCCTTGAAGGAGGCACAGGGACCTGAGGTGCTGTGCCTGCTTGCTCTCAGCTTGTCATGTGCCAAGGATCCTCCAGATCCACAGACAGCCCTGCTCTGGCCCCAAGGGCTCCGTTCCACTCTGTGCAGGAGAGGAGCACACCTCACAGCTTGGGGACCTGTGCTCAGGGAAGGGTTTGAATATAATGGCTATGAATAATGGCACTGTTCTCTTTAGTATCTTTGTTGATGATTTGGATGAGGGGATTGAGTGCACCATCAGCAAGTTTGCAGATGACACAAAGTTTGGCGGGAGTGTTGACCTGCTGGAAGGCAGGAGGGCTCTGCAGAGGGACCTGGATAGGCTGGAGAGATGGGCTGATTCCAACGGGATGAGGTTTAACAAGGACATGTGCTGGTCCTGCACTTTGGCCATAACAATTCCATGCAGTGCTACAGGCTGGGGACAGAGTGGCTGGAGAGCAGCCAGGCAGAAAGGGACCTGGGAGTTTGGATAGACAGGAAGCTGAACAGTGTGCTCAGGGTACCTAGAAGGCCAATGGCATCCTGGCCTGGATCAGGAACAGCATGGTCAGCAGGACCAGGTAGGTGATTCTACCCCTGTACTTGGCACTGATGAGGCCACACCTTGAATACTATGTACAGTTCTGGGCCTCTCAGTTCAGGAAGGATATTGAAGTGCTGGAGCAGGTCCAGAGAAGAACAATGAGGCTGGTGAAGGGACTTGAGCACAAGTCCCATGAGGAGAGGCTGAGGGAGCTGGGGTTGTTTAGCCTGGAGAAGAGGAGGCTCAGGGGTGTCCTTATCACCCTCTACAATTACCTGAAAGGAGATTATAGTCGGGGGGGGATTGGTCTCTTCTCCCAGGCAACCAGCAGGAGGACAAGAGGGCACAGACTCAAGCTGTGCCAGGGGAGGTTTCGGCTGACTATTAGGATGGAGGGAGTGATCAGGCATTGGAATGGGCTGCCCAGGGAGGTGGTGGATTCACCATTCCTGGAGGTTTTCACGAAGAGGCTGGATGTGGCACTTAGTGCCATGGTCTAGTAACCAGAGTAGGGTTGGACTCTATGATCTTTGAGGTCTCTTCCAACCTGGTTGATTCTATGAATGTAACCCAGCAGGGCTGTGTGTCTGTGTGTAGGAGGTGTGGAGGCAGAAACACAAGGAGATAGTTATATTCTAATTTGGGCAAAGCAAAGCTTTCTTCTTTTTTTGTGTGGAAGCCATGGAGTCATCTGGACTTTTTAAGGAAAGTGTGTGTGTCTAAGTGTGTGTGTGTGTGTGTGTGTTTGTGTATGCATGTGCATGTGGCTGGCCCTGCCAGTTCCATGGGAATGAATTTTATTTCTCAGGAAACCTCAACTATTTTATATTCTGGAGATGAATTTTGCAGAGACTTTCAAGGCTCTGTCTCGGTTATGGGTATTGCAGTGGTTCATCCTGGCAGAGGTGCTGCTCTGTGGCTTTGTGGGCATTTCTGTGCCAGGAGCTTGGGGCTCCTGCTCCCTTGTCCCTTGTGGGATCTGGTCACCCCCAGTCTGCACTCTCCCATGTCTTTGTCACATGCAGTGACAAGCCGTGTATTCACTGTTAGGGCAGGCACAAGGGCATTAAACCTGGTGGGTTTGCACATTGCCTTGCTGCACATTGCTCCACTGTCACTGCTCCTCACTGGGCACCAGCAGCGGGGCTGGGACTTTGCTGGGGAGGCCCTGACCCCAGCAGTGTTTGTCAGCTCTTTCTGCTGGCCACCTGAGGGAAATTAATGTCTTCGGGCGTGTCTTGTGCTTTGAGATTTGAAGTGTAATAAATGCCATCTCTTTTCCCTTGGCATGTCTGTCTTTCTGCTCTCTGCACTGCAACTGTTAGGACTTTTTCCCCTGACTGACCAGGAGTTCCTCCTGTGCTGGCCCATTTCCCTGGTTTCAGTGGAGGCAAGGAGAAGGCAGTGGAGACCTTCACACTGTTGGATCTGCACTTTTGGCTCTTGAGGGCAGGGAGTTGCTGGCCATCATCCTCCCATGGCGGAGCAGGACTTGGCTCTTTTAGTATCCACATGGCCGCGTGGCTGAGCAGAGACTGTTCCTAGAGAAAGGAGCCATTCCTGAGCTCCTAGCCTTCAGCTGAGCTCTTTCTTCAGGTATGGAGTCAGGAAGGGATTACTGGCAGCTTTTTCATATTCATCAAACAGTAGGGTATGTGCAAGTTGACTGCTGGTCTGCCTCCTGCTCAGTCTCCTGAGCATGGAGATGCTTTGGTTGACCAAGGGGAATGTGAACAGCCTGGAAGCCAAGGAAGCACATGGAGATATAGCAGAACCGAGTGGCTCAAAATGGAGATGGAGAAGCTGGAGAGGAATAGGGGCTGCTGAGACAGAGCCAGTGAAGACTGGGGTAGGTTATCCAGAAGCAGAGGGGAGTCAGCCTCAGACCAGAGGCCTGTGAGGTCCAGGGAGAGCACTTTCTCCCCAGGAGAGGACTGTGTGGCCCAGGGTCCACCCCAGAGGGGAAGGGGTCCCCATCCTTAGGGTCAGCCGGGTTTGGCCAGATAGGGCCATAGCTGGCCTTGCCCAGGGCTGGGGGCAGTCCTGCCCCACAGGGAGGTTGGGTGGAGGCTCCCTCTCCTTCCAGCGCTGCTGGGATGATCCTGGAGACTGCCTTATGGTAGACAGGCCATGGGCCTGTTTCTGCCTGGCTGGGGCAGGGAGCAGAGCATAGGGCTGTACACCTTTGCCCATGGATGAGCACAGGTTTGCCTTCAGCTCTGGATGCCAGGGCACGCTGTTCCTGGGTTTGCCTCTCTCAGTGGGGCCACATGCTGAGGGCATCAGTAAAGGAATGAAAGATGTGGCACTGCTGGCCCCCAACTCCTTCCCCTTTGTCACCCTGCTCTGCAGGGCCACAGTTCACACCCAGGTGCCAAAGGGGTGTTGCATCAGTGCATCAAAGCCTTGACCCTGCTGTTCGTCCTGCTTTTACTTGGGGATAGGACAGACACAGGAGTGTGTGGGGCCAGGGCTCCTCCGGTGCCCAACCCCTTGGCAAATGGCAGTGAGGGTGGCCCTAGTGCGTAGGAGAAATCCTACCAGCCCCCTGCTCTGTGAGGGAATGAGTCTGATGTCTGTCCGTCCTCTCCCACCCCACAAATCGTTGCCCTGGAGCTTTGGAGGGGACAGAGGGCCCTCCTGTGGCTGTCTGCAGGCAGGTGCGCCAGGGATGGATAGGGAGCATCAGCCCCGCGTGTAACTGTGGGGAATAAAGGGGGCAGGAGGTGAAGTAACACGGCAAGGAGCTTAGCCAGAGCAGCTGGGGGTGATATTTCTGGTTCCTGAGGGCTCCTGCTTCTCCCTTATCCTGGTACAAGGGAAAAACATGAGTGGCTGGACTGTGCTGCCCACTGTGAGTCAGCCCTGCCCTAGGCAGAAGGCAGAGCTGCCCCACACATGCTCCTCTTTATGCTCCTAATCTCTGACCTTGCAGCAGAGCAGGACCTGGCCATCCCTTTATCCCAGCACACCTCCTCCCTTCTTTAAACCACAGGATGCCACACTTGGACAGAAGGCATAAGGGATGGGGCTCCTGGGGTGCCTGGGAGGTGGATGCTGAGTCCCCAGGATGGGTCCAGGCAGGGTGAGCAAAGAGGGTTTAAGGCATCTCTAATGAGGTGTTGCCTCGTTTCTGCTTCCCGGGAAGGGGCTTCAGCTATTCCCCCTCCCCAGCACACCCCCTTCCCACCCTCCCTGACTGTGAGTCTGATCATCCTGAAAATTAAAAATAAACCAAAATGCAGCAGCACTTAAAGACTGAGCGGAAAGTCTGAGAGCTGGGACAGCCACTCAGCTTCTGCCACAGAGCCCCTTGCTCCCACCCTGCCTTCCCTGCACACCCGAGGTGAGTCCAGGTCAGGGGCTCAAGCAATTCCTGTCCCCCCAACAAGCATCTCTCTGCCTCATGAGGAAAAGGGCAGAAAAAGCCCAGGCCAAGAAAAAGTTCTGAGCATTAGGCAGCTCTTCCCACCCTGCTCCCTCCCCTGTGGAACACCCATCCTTAGCCATCCTTAGCTTATCCTGATGCAGGGGTGGGAGGGAGCTGGGGGAAAAGGGGTGCAGAGGGGGTAGTTTGGCCTCTAACACTGGCACTTTGTATTCATGAGTAAATACTTGCTAATGGCAGCACGGCCGGACGAAGGTAGGGGAGCTGCTGCTCCCCCTGCCAGGGCAGGCAGGGAAATGAATATGAATTTATCATGATTAGGTGAACCCAGCAGGGAGAGCGGGAGAGAGAGGGCTAGGCAGGGAGGGGGCGGGCGAAGATGGATCTGTGCAATAAAATTAAATAAGGACACCAAATAGAGTCACTTCTCACGCGCTTGCCCGCCCTCCTGCGTGCAGGGCCTCTCCTGCCTCCCGCGCTCCTCTGGCTTTGCTGATTTCTCTCTTTCCTCGAATTTATGAGGCCAATTATGAAGATGAGGTTGGAAGTTCTCGG